AGCAAAATTTGGGCTGGGTACAGTGGCGCACACCTGTAATCCCAGCACTTTGGGAGGCCGAGGCGGGCTGATCACTTGAGGTCAAGAGTTTGAGACCAGCCTGGCCAACATGGTGAAACCTCATCTCTACTAAAAACACAAAGATTAGCCAGATATGGTGATGTATGCCTGTAATCCCATCTACTCAGGAGGCAGAGGCACAAGAATCACTGTAATCCAGGAGGTGGAGGTTGCAGTGAGCCAAGATGGTGTCACTGCACTCCAACCTGGGTGACAGAGCAAGACTCCATCTCAAAAATAATACTAAAAAAAAAACAAAAAACAAAAAACAAAATTTGGTGGGGATCTGCCATCTCCTCTCATGGACCATAACAGCTTTTGTCTGACACAACTGGAAGCACTGATTATTACTCAGGCTTAGACTAGAATGGCATAATTTCATATATGGTCAGACTGCTTTCAGAAACTGAGATTGACTTTATTTATTTAGATTTCATTTCTAGTGACTTATTTTATTCCTTCATTTGGGCTTTGGCTCCCTGATTCATTGCATGCCTTGTGATTCTTGTTGAGATTTAGACATTTGAAAAATAGTCACCTTCACTTTGAGAGGTCAAGGTGGGAGGATCACTTGCACTCAAGACTTCAAGACCAGTCAGGACAACATAGCAAGAACCCATCTCTGATGGATGAAAATCTCAAAGGAATTCTGCTTCGACTGCAGAAATGTCACACTCCAGAACTTCAAAAGCCTTGGGAAGCTGCATGAGTAGTGTGGTCTATGGAGGTGCATGGCTTTGCAGTCAGGCAGAGTTAATCCTGAGTTCCAGCCCAGCTGCTTAGTAGCTGTAGGTCTTTGGACAAGTTTCTTAACTTGGAACAGTTGTCTACACTTCATTTATGTTTGCTGGCTTATAACAAAGGACATTGCAAAAGATACAGATGAAGAGACGTGCAGAGCAAGGTACGGGGGAAAGAATGCGGAGCTTCCACTTCCTCCTTGGGTGTGCCACCCTCCAGGAACCTCCGTGGGTTCACCTGTCCAGAAGCTCCAATTGTCTTTAAAGAGCCAATAAGAATCCCCATAGAAAGACTGGCCTGGTACCTTGTCTACATGGTTCTCTTACAAAGCTCCTGACCTGTGATAAGCAAAGAATGCCACTTTCCAGCCCAGGAAGCTCAAGATATTTTGGGACCACTAGAAAGGAGGAATTCATACAGGTATTAGAAGCACAGCCTGATGTGAATCCTTAACTTGGCTTCTAGCCTTGAGGTTTTTAAAAAGTTGAAATCAAAATTTTTTATAAAAGTTCCAGCAAGGCCAACTTTAAAGTCTATATAACCCATTAAATATTCTTGCTATGCTTTACACAAACAATCAGGCCAAGTATAATAGACTAAAATGTATTTTGCAAATAAATTGGTTCTACTATGATTTATCCTTGGTATAAATGGGAAAACTGGAGAGAGAAAAATTTAGATTCTAGCCCTGACCATTGTTTTTCAGTTTCTATTTTTTGACTCTAATGTGGGCTAAATCCTGAATTATTTCCTCACTACAAGAAATCTCTAAAGGAGAATCAGGTTTTAGCTATTGGTTTTCATGTAGCAATGTTTTTAGTTGGCTTTCTAATGGAATAGGTTCTTTCTTATTGTTGTTCTTGCATACAAAGTCTTTTTTGAATATAATATTCGTGTGTATTATATCAAATTATTAATGCAGTGTGTCTTTCATTGCTTTACTTCTAACAAAACCAAAGTTTCAAAGACTAGAGATGATTCAACCAAACCCGTGAATCTTCCTCATTTGAAATCCCACTGGGCCAGATCTGTTTTCCATTGCCAGTGCACAGCTGCTAAAACTACACAATATCTAGCACCCTTTCTAAAGGCTCAGGAACCACTGCAGAAGAAGAGGGCATGGAAACTGCAAGAGCTGTGTTAGTGAGATGGAGTGTAGAGGCTAAAGCAACTCCATCTTGGATGCTAATCTACCATGTTGACTTCTATTAACCCCTGTTCTGGGAAGGCCTCTGAGATTTCTATTCTATCTACTGTTCCTGTGTAAGAGCATGTACTTACTTACTGTAAATCCTGCCCTTAGGCAGATTCACACAGCATTCTTTCCTAAAAAGTATACTTCAGTTGTGCTAAAACTTTAAGACCAGTCAGGGCAACATAGCAAGAACCCATCTCTGATGGATGAAAATCTCAAAGGAACCCTGCTTCGATTGTAGAAATGTCTAATGTGCTACAAATGAGAATACGGTACATAATCTCTCTTCTCTTAGGGTATATACGCCCTCTGTGTCTAGATCTTCTCCTGTGGTATTAAGCCCTCTGTTGAGGGGAGGTGGGATAGGTAATGGTATGGGGATCTGCCGTCTCATTTTGTGGCCACCCAGACATCATGGCTTCTGTTTGTAGGTCCCTATTAAATGTTCCTTTCTGAGAAGAAGAAGAAAAAGCCACAAATCCTTTACAGCCTGCTTGTCTTTAGTATAAAGTCCAAAAATATTGAGCTGGATGCGGTGGCTCATGCCTATAATCCTAGCATTTTGGAAGACCAAGGTGGGTGGATTGCTTGAGCCCAGGAGTTCGAGACCAGCCTGGACAACATGGTGAAACCCCGTCTTTACCTGCCCTCCCCCTCAAATATATCTATACATAAAAATTAGCTGGGCATGCTGGTACACATCTGTAGTCCCAGCTCCTTGGGAAGCTGAGGTGAGAAAATGGCTCAATCCAGGGAGGCAGAGGTCGCAGTGAACTGAGATCATGCCACTGCACTCCAGCCTGGGCAACAGAGCTGAGCTTCTGTCTATAAATGAATAAATAAATGAAACTTTTAAAAGCCCAAAACATTTAACAAGGCCGCTAAGACCCTGTGCCAACTTCCCACTTCTGTCTCCTGCTCCTCTTGCTTCCTCATGTTTTATTCCCTAGTCGTAGCAGACTTCTTTTGCTTTTCTAAATGTGCACATTCTCATGTACTTTGTTTTGTTGCAAGAATATTCTTACCAACCTTCTCTCCCTGCCCACCAGTCTCCCCACACTAGGCCAATTCCTTTTTTATCCTTTGGGTGTTACCTTAAACATTACTGCTCAGGGAAGTTGTCCCGATCCTCCTAAGTGTGTCAAGTCCAATGTCACATGCAACATTTCTTCTCTGTTCTCTTTTGTAGCACATATTAACTCACAGTTAGTTTATTTGTGTAGTTATTTTGCATATCAGGATCCCTACTAGATTATAAGCTGTATGAGGCCAGAGAAATTGTCATCCTGTTTACTGTGGTCTCCTTGGCACAATGCCTGGCCCATGACAAGGTGTCAATAAGTACTAGTTGAAGGAGCAAGTAATTGAAGCCTGTACTTCCCATAGTTACATTTGGACATATAAGTCTGTCTAAAATTACTTCTGGAAGTCTTTTGAATATTAGAATTAATTCACAAGAACAGAATTCATACATAAAGAGTCATTATATTTGACTAGTAATTAGATAACACAGAAAGACATTTTACTCTTTTTTTTCTTGTAAAGTAACTACAGCTGTTACAACAATACAGATAATATCCCTTTACTTTTCTGTGAAATTGACATTCTGCAGAGAAGAAAATTATACGCAGTTATAAATGCTATTGCTAGAACTTTTAGGGCCCCTGGAAAAAAAAAACATGAATAACCCACACCTTTATTAATTATATAAGAAGCAGGGCTCCAGCTGCTACATAGGTGGTATTTTTTTTTTTACCTATGAAAGCAGAAAAGGAAACTAATTATGGAGAATGATTTTCTTTGCTCAGTTCTACTTTACTCTTTAATACGTTTTTGTATTTTCTATAGACAATCCTCAACAAGCTAACTGATTTTGGAACATGCACACCACTGATTCATTTTAAATAAGGATTATTAAACTTAAGTAGGTATTATACAAAAGTGCAGTTTTAAAGAAAACCTTAAGGTTGGGTGCCATGGCTCACATCTATAATCCCAGCACTTTGGGAAGACGAGGTGGGCAGATTACTTGAGGTTAGGAATTTGAGACCAGCCTGGCTATCATGGTGAAACCTGTCTCTACTAAAAATACAAAAATTAGCTGGGCGTGCTAATTACAGTGTGTACGCCTGTAATCCCAGCTACTTGGGAGGCTGAGGCAGGAGAACTGCTTGAACCTGGGAGGTGGAGTTGCTATGAGCCGAGATCGCACCACTTCACTCCAGCCTGGGCGACAGAATGAGGCTCTTTCTCAAAAGAAAAGAAAGGAAAAGAAAACCTTTAAAGTTTTATTAAATACTCTAAGTAACTTTTTGAACTGTGAGTTTGAGAATATAGAGGCTGAGCCAGAACCCACTCTGAAATTAGTCTTGGAAGGTTTCAATGGGGCTCAAACCTTCTGGGAACTCTGCAAATAACTAAGAGTATTGTCCTACCATACATATTCTTTTTAAGAGCTATCTTTAATAGGGAAATATTATGCTACACCTTGAGCAGTAAACAAAATACTTTCTTGCAGGTAAAAATAGACAATGAATACTATAAGCAAGTAAATTATACAGTATGTTAAAAATAGTTAAAACTAATAACCCGAAATCCAAAACAGAATGAAATGGTTAATGTATTTTCTTTCCTTCAAATAGTTTCAAAGGTTCTACACACTCTGAAATTAAAGGCTGCTCACTTTTTAATGAAATTTTCTGAGAAAAAAGGTCCAGTCATATAAAGTTTCTTATGTATTTATTTATTTTTAGAAACAGGGTCTTGGCTCTCTCGCCCAGGCTGGAGTGCGTTGGTGCAATCATAGCTCACTGGAACCTCGAACTCCTGGGCTCAAGCAATCCTCCTACCTTAGCCTCCCAAGTAGTTGAGAATACAAGTGTGCAACTAATTCTTCTTTTCTCTTTTTTGTAGAGACGAGGTCTTGCTGTGTTGCCCAGGCTGTCCTTGAATTCCTGGCCTCAAGGGATGCTCTCGCCTCAGCCTCCTCAAGTGTTGGGATTTACAGGCATGAGCCACTGCACCCATGCTCTTTTTAAATAGTAGGTGTTTTCATAAGTTGTTGATCCATTTACTCTAAAATATGTATTAAGTGGCTATTATGTGCAGAAGATATGGCAGCAAGCAATACGAACACAATTTCTGCCCTCATGACCAAATATATTAATCCAAGAATTTCATGGTGGAGAAGCAGATCTGAAAAAGCATGCATCATCTGCATAGCACATTTACCCTAAAGTTAATAACTACTTTTAAAAGGCTCTTCATGCTTGTTTTGTCAACTGAGATCTCCTGAAATCCAAAGCACTGTTTTGAACTGGAGGGTGGAGATAGGGTAAGTCTTTTTTGCTGCTGGTACTATAATATCATATTTTTGTTGTGACAAGGAAAGCTACTTGCCAGTAGCTGTGTACCCTTTATTTCTTATCCAAGGTGTATTAACTGAGCCATGAAGGGTGGCATCAGGGAAAGTGTTTCCCGACTGCAGGCCCCTCAGGGCAGTCCAGGTGAAGAAACTTCAGTTTCTACAAGAATTTTTCAGAACCAGATCTGGGGCTGCCTTTCAATCCTAGGTTCGTGGAATATTCTCAATGTCCAAATTGTGGAAATGGTTTTAAGGATGAAAATGTTTTTAAAACATATCCAATATCTTAATAATATGTCATAAAATGCTCCAGACATTGGTGGGAGAATCTGTTGCTTTTACCAGCCTAGAATCTCTTTCTGCTTCTCCTGGTCCTAGCACCCTACTTTTTCTTTGGCAATGCATCCCCCTCCATGACATGCCAGGACTGCCAATCAAGCGACCCAACTCCCTTGGCCAACCTGTGTGCCTGGGACCTGAGCCAGTCCAAGCTGATTCTCCTAGGATTAGAATCTTGAGCACGGTGACTCAGGGTCAGAAAACATTTGCAGCCAAGACTTTCTGATGACAGAATCCCGAAGAAATCGTCCATGTGTTCTTGCCATCTAGATCCCCAAGCTCAACTGAGCTACCCTGTATATCCTTCCTATGAAATTTCCTGGCATTGTTTCTGTTGCTTACAATCAAATAATCCTAATCTATCTTCCCATATAAGTAGATTGAATTATGTCATTTAAATAATTATAGACCTTTAAAAATGCAGTATATACACTGAAACAGCAAAAATGAGAATTCATTTTGTTTTTCCTTAGGAGTCATCAGAAGTTCACTCCTCAGACACAAAAGTACAGTTTAAATGTGTATGTAATGACCATGGTTTTTCTGAATGTATGCAGGCCTACAATCCCAGCTACTCAGAAGGCTGAGGCAGAAGAATCACTTGAACCTGGGAGATAGAGGTTGCAGTGAGTGGAGATTGCTCCACTGCAACCCCAGCCTGGCGACAAAGTGAGACTCTGTTTCAAAAAAAAATTACAATGAATACAAATTTTTACCTCCAAAATGAGATACTTATACCAGAAATAAAATGAGTCACTATAACGGCTGTGTACGGCAGCAATGGCCACAGTCTCTTCGCTAAAAAAATGCCATTTATATATATGTGCATATAGATAGATACACACAAACACAGACGCATTCCTATTCAGATTTGTACAAAACAACATCTACTTATTTAGACTCCTGTTTCTTGATGATAGAGAGTTTAATTATCAGACAGGAAATTTTTCCATTCTGATAACTGTTCAACTTTCTGACCATTTCCTAATTTATAAAGATGAAGCACACTAGACTCAGATGCACTTTATTCCACGTTACCTTCATCACCAGTTTCTGACTTTTAAAAAATATTCATGGGCTGATGCAATATTTAGATATAACCAGAAAAGTTTTGCAAACTTCAGAATATAGTATTGATGGTAGAAATATGGCTTAATAATAATAAATAATAACTTGATAACCTGGGGGTTTCTTTCCTTTTTTTTTTTTTTATTTTCTCTCTCTGTCACCCAAGCTGGAGTGCAGTGATACACTCTCAACTCACTGTAACCTCTGCCTGCCAGACTAAAGGATCCTCCCACCTCAGCCTCCCAACTAGCTGAGAGTATAGGCACACACCACCACGCTGGTTAATTTGGCTAATTTTTGTATTTTTAGTAGAGGCACGGTTTCACCATGTTGGCAGGCTGGTCTTGAACTCCTGATCTCAAGTGATCTGCTGGCCTTGGCTTCCCAAATTGCTGGGATTACAGGTGTGAGCCACTGTGCCTGGCTGATGACCTGCATTTTTATAGATAGTCCTCTATAGTTTTTAAACTCTTTCACAGACTATACCAGTCAGATTCCAAGCAAAAAGTAAAATTTACTCAGAAAGTGCAATGAAGAGACTTTAATGAAGGAGCTACTTACAGAAGTTGTGAGGTTAAAGAGCAAACAATGGATGTTGAGGCACCCAGAGAGCGGCAAGAGTAAAAAGCCATTACTTGCCCTAGGACTTAAGGGTTATGGAGTGAAAACAGGATTACCCAGAGCTCCATGAAAAGCTAAAGTCAAGGAAGATGGGTCTCCCAATTTGCTTCCCAGTAGATTGTACAGAAGCAGTGAGAGAGGGCAGAATCATTTTGTTCCCTCTCTTTTCCCACCTTCTTTCTGATCTGCTGCTAAAATCAACTAGAAGCCAGATGGCAAGGGAGTCCTGGCAATGTGGTTGGTAGGAGGCAGCAAATCCTCAGAGTATAAAGATGAGCAGAGAACTGGGGGTTGGGGGGAGAGAGAATGAATCTAGGGGAAAACCACAGAATAACTAGACACATATATTAACTCACAATACAACAGGCTCCGAGAGATTAAACGCCTGATTAAATTTACACAGCTCGTGATCCCTGATCTGGGACTTAAATACAAGTTTCCAGACCCTACAAAGCCAGTGCTTTTCCCAATATGCCTTAGTTAATGGCTTAGTTACAGATGATTGAGGGGTATTGTGTTGCTGAGTCATATATAATATTTTATTTTAAACTGAGTCAACTCAAGAAGGGTTCCTACAGAGGCTCTTTCTTGCATATCTGCCATGAGAGTTTGGCCCAACAAGATTGTCCAGTGAACCAGGTGAACACAGTGATGATGACTGTTTTGTCCTGGTGAGATCAACAGGGATACAGTCAAAGTCATGGGAACAATAGAGAGAAATAAGCCAGCAAAGAGGAGACCCTGATGCTGCCAGAGAGAAACATCATAGTGTAGCTAAAAGCCTGGTTATATAAGTCAATAGCCTGAGTTTGAATTCACTGTCTCTCACTACCAGAGGTATTGAGGAATTAATCCAAGTTTTGCTTTACTCATCTATTATTGTGGGTAAAATACCTACCTCACAGGGTTGGCATGAGGACTAAAATAACGTTTATAAAGAGCTTAGTGTTTGGCATACTAGTTCTAATTAACAAGAAAGCTACTATATATTGGAGTGTCGACATGGTATTGCTATCCATAAAGCATACATAAGGTAGAGCTTAATATCTCTCATTTTACAGACACAGAGATTGGGGCTTAGAGAATGATTTGTCTAAAATCACACAGCTAATACAAGGGTTGAGATCTGAATTTAAAAGCACATGCTTCTACTCCACTGCACCATTCCAGAGGAAGATGGGATTAAAGTAATTCTGTCAGTGGGGGCTCACGTCAGGCACTTTTAAATTGTGCCTAAACACATCTTTTCTTGAACTTTTCCATGTTCGTGTAATGTGGGGGACATAAATTATACACCTTTTTCTGGTTATTCCTCTCCTCAGTTTGCTGTGTCCATTGTTGACATTTCAGACACATCAGCAATGTTACTGTTTTTTAAATAAAGCCCAGTATGCCCTTGAAGAATATGCCTTTCACTATAAGATAATTGGTTTGGAATCCTGATGCCATTATTTATCATCACGTGGAGCTGATTTGCAAGGAATATGGCTTTGATGCTTGAGGATTGGCTTTGCGCCAAGAAGTCATTGTTGGGGATTCTGGCTGTTTGATGTTAAGATGCAATCTGCTGAGATGCTGACTAGGCCTATTAATAGAAGTTCAAACACAGTGTCACAAGCTTAACTATGAGGGCCTGGAAAGAGAGGCCTGAATAACAATTCTGACAGAGCCAGGAGGTGTCATTGGACAGGACAGTGTGACCTTGACACCATGTTAAGGACTCACGAAGGCATCTGAGACATGCCGGCAGTTCCTCCCCATGCTTACTCTCACTCACATTCACCAGTTTGGGCACATGGTGTGCCCCAATTAGGTGTCTTTCTTTCCCACAGGATAGAGCTCCTTAGAGGCAGGGATTATGTCATTAATTCAGAAAGCATTCATTGAGTGCCTCTTGCCACTGCCAGGCATTGTACAAGGAGCCAGTAGTCTTATTCATCTTTGTACCCAGCATCTCACACAGAGGCTAGCACATGGCATGCATTCAATACATGTTATGGACAAAATATTACTCACCAAGGAGGCTAAACACAAACATTATGTTCATTTGAACAATGAACATATTCTAATGTGTTTTCTCAAATTTTGCTATAATACCCAAATTTTTAAATTTAAAAAAAATCAAGTTCTGGCAACTATGACAGAACTATTAAATGCATTCCTATTTATCTCATGGCTAAAGGCTTAGATCATTCAAGCTGATCAAATATTATAGTTGTTTGGGAGCGAAGTTCATATTTGGCACATTCAATTCATAAAAAAATCCTCAATACCCAAACAAAATATAAACCATTCCTTGATTATCAAAAGGTAATATGTGTTTCAAGGTCATCTTTAAGGAACCATTTCTTATGGTATAGGCTCTAGCTATAATAGGGTTAAGAGTCTGAATTCATAAATGCTTTCCTTCTTACTGTGATTATTTTTTATACTCAATTAGTAATACATAATTATGATAAGACCCCTGGGCTACAGTCAATCATTTAAAATAATAATAATAATAAGAAGAAGAACAAGAACAAGAACCTGATATCAATGAAGGTGTTTTGTAAAAGCAACAGAAACAACTCTGATTAGCTCAAACATAAAAGAAATTCATTTGAAAGATAATGAGTAGCTCTCAGAAGGGAAGGCTGGAAGCCCAGGTTC